TGTGTGTGTGTGTCTGGGAACGGAGCCCAGAGCCTTCACATTTAGCTACATTGCCAGCCTTTAAAAAGTTTTTTGAGATAGGACCTTGCTAAATCACTAAGTTCTCCAGGCTGGGCTAGAACTTGGGGTCCTCCTGCCTCAGCCTCCCAGAGTGCAGGGATTACAGGCATGTGCCACCATGCCAAGTTTAGAATATAATTTTTTATCATATGTTTATACTGCATTTCTTAGTAGAAAACATTTATATTAAATTGAGAGAAATTGAAATCTCCTCTTTGTGGGAAAAGAACGCTTTCTATTAGGTATTTGGCCCAGGGCAATTTTAATGTACTGTTAAATTTTAACTTTTGAAAACATGCAGTATTTTCTTCCCCAGTATTCCTGACTATATCCTAATCTACATCCTATCTGAAAGTTTTTCAAATTAGTTTCAGAACTAAATGTTGAGGAACAACATCATTGATTAGGTACTAGAGACTGTAACTTAGACAATGCACAATGTAATCAAGACTCAGTGGCCTCTGAGATTTTAACTATGGGTATCACGGCCAGACTTGAAACTTGAATTTTTGATTCTTGGCAGATATTGAAGGTATGTTTAATTTTAGCTTTTTAGAATTTAGTAAATTCTAGCTCATGGCAAGGTTGCTAGTATAAATATATTTTTATGAGCTAGTAAGGGCACATGCTGTATTCTCAAAGGAACATGTCAGTAAAGGTTTTTTATGTCAGGGCCACAGATACTAATTTATTTGGTAATGTAGATGAAATATAATTTCAGTGAGGGGGATTAAAGAAACACTGCTGTTGGAAAGGAATATTATTTGAGCTACTAAGAAATACGCAACTTTTTGAAACTCATTTTTCACACTCTAGAACCTATTAAGTTGTGGAAGGAAGTGTAGTTGCTAAGGAGGGTAGGATGTGGAGACCAAAGACAGCAGGTGCACATGTGAAAACTATCAGGGGCTGGATGGTAGGTGAGCCAGGTGTTGCTCTTCCCTCTTAAAACGGGATTTCAGGTCCTGCTTCCTGGAACCTACTGCTGAAACTGCCATCCTAAGACTTCTCAGATATTATACAAAGGATTTGACACAGCCCCCCCAGGTTATCACTGTGAGGTAGCGGCTCCCTACTGCTGCCTCAGGACTGTGCCTCCCTGCATGGGAAGGAGACAGGATAGTTTAGGGACACTCAGGTCATCCTGAAGGTCTTTCCAGGACAGCAGGAGAAAGTTGAAACTTTCCTTCTGAAGGCTGATCACTGCCAAACCAAACTGACACTAGGCAGATTAACATAGCAAAATGTGAAACCCACCCAGGGTGGTGGCGAGCCTGCAATGCCAGCACTCTGGGGGCTGAGGCAAGAGGGTCCCCGATTCCAGGCCAGCCCGGCAATTCAACAATTTAGCAAGGCCCTGTCTCAAAATAAGAAAGTGCTGAGGATGTAGCTGGGGATAAAGACCCTGGGTTCGATGTCTTGTACTGCAAACCAACCAAACAAACAAAAAAACTCAAAGAAGGGCTAGGCTGAGACTTAACCAACTCTCTTCAAAGGGGAAGGGAAAGTGAAGAGCTCAAGCAATGTTAGGGGGGTAGGAAATGATGTTTAAGGGAGAGAATGAGCCAGGGGAAGAGACAGTGGCCCAGGACTAAGTCCTCAGTGCTCGGGATGAGGTGTTCGATTTTCAGTCTTTTCCCCTGTGTTGTGAGCTTAATCTCGCACGTTACTGACATTTCTCTAGGATCTGAAGGTGATTCTGTTTCTCACTAGGACAGCTGGTCTTCAGGGAGAGGGAACTTCAAGGGAAGCCTTTCCTACATCTGCTGCTCCCTAGCTGATCTTGTTTTAGAGTCCAACGTGGCATTTTTGGTGTTTCATTTTCCTGAACACCCCCAGCAGCACCCAATTTCCAAGCCAACTACTTCTCTATTTGACTTATAGTAAGAAGTTGTTCTGAGCTTGGGAAGCGCCAATACACTGTAATGAAAAACCAGTATGGTTTGCTGTCACTTATCTTATTTCACATAAAAACTACTACAAGTTGTTAAAATCTAATATTAATGTACAAATGTGCATTTTAAATGGCAACACTTTATGATCTGAAATGATGTTTAAATCAATTAATGTACCGGAAGTGTTTAGGAAAATACCTACCATATAGTATTACCTATCTCTGCACCTATCTATCCACTGATGTGTCTAGTATCTATTTTTCACAAAGCCTCTATACTTTAGTTCTTCAGTTTACCTTGTGGAAAAGAATACATGGCCTATACCATATTTGACTATTTATTTACAATACATTCCCAGGTGTTAGAAAATGTCTACACTTTCTCTTAAGTTTCTTTCCACAGCACAGAAGAACAACAAATACATTTTGTGCCGCTATTTCTGCACCTTACAACACGTTTTCCCTTACTGTCTTGTCCTTCCTTCAGGTTGTAATGTCTGAGTGTGTCCAGAGATGACTGTGCGAGAGGCACAACTCTCCACCGTGAATAAGCATGAGCTTTCCAACCTTTAAAATACTCTCGCAACTCTTTTCCATGGCCTAAACCATCTTTTAACCATTTTTCTTCTCTTTGGCTTTGATAAACCCAATAATAGCCAAGCCCTGTAATCAATTGTGAAAAGAGCACCGTTAAGTGTTCAGGTGTTTATATGCGAGTCATTGGTTTATTTTGATTGAAAGGACTGTAAGAGATAAATAAAATGCAGAGAGAGTCACCCTGTAGGCTTTCAGTTAAAACATAGGGAATCTGATTGTCTGCGGGAGGGAGAGTGGAATGACAGCTTCCTTTTTTAAGGAACCACTTAGAAAATTCTTTACATGGAAGCATACCGCCTAGGTACACAGCAGTGTTTTTCTTCAGGTGTGCATTAGAATTTAGACTTGTTAATTTTTCATACAATGTTATCTTGAAGTACGTTTATTAACTTCTTTGTTCCAACACTTGACCCTTGACCCAATTTCTCCCAGTCTACCAAACTTCTCTTTTCTGCCCATCCTCGTTCATTGTAGCCAGACTAAAATTCATAAACCATCGAATCTTACTAATATCCTAAACACTCTTTTGTACTTAATTTTTTGTGTTATGTGCCTGGATCAAAGACAGTCCTGGCTAACCCAGCAGTCCAGGAGCTGTGCCGATGGAGGCCTCTGGGGGCTTGCTCTCAGGAGCAAAGCCAAACCCTTCTCAGGGCGATAGATGGCTCCTCCATGCCTACCTCCCCCTCCCCCTTTGTGCCCCTGCTCACCACCTTCCGCCCATCCCAGCACAGTATGTGCGCCGCTTCTGTCTGCAGAGCTCTCGCACCCACTCCCGTTGTGACTGGCTATGCCTCCTCTAGACGTCATCTGTAGTTCACTTCCTTAGAGGAGGCTTTGCTGATGTCACCACCAAGCTCCTACCTCTGCCTTTCATGGTCAGCACTCCGAGTTTTCCCCTGTGTCCTCTGGCCTTGCTCGTTTGTCCAGCGCCACCTGTCTCTCCTGGTGAAAATACAACCTGCGTGGCCTCCATCTGCTGCTTTCTAGAGGGGTGCAGGGCGCAACTGGACAGTGCACATTAGTAGCCAGATTTGTGAGAAGTAGAGACAATGCCTGTTTTTGCTCTGGCTCACAACTGCAACTCAAGAAATATATTTAAGGAAAACACAAGTGGATGAATGATAAATGCCTCAGTGTAGATAGAGTCCATGCAAACAAGTTGTTAAAGACAGGGGAGGCATTTATCTTGGTCACCTGTGTGCTTCAAGTCCAGCATCTGCACACCTGATACATGAGCTTCCTAAATTTCTGTCCTGCCGCTGTAAACGCGACAGATGGCACGCTTGGCCCCAGGGGTCTCTCACTTTGAAAGAGAGCTGGTGAGAATTTAGGTTTCAAGATTCTCAAATGATGCCCATGACAGAAAAAACTAAGGAATTGTGTGTGAGTCCTATGACTCTTTAGCTCACGGCCTGACTGGTGTAGGGGAAGGCACTCCCTCCAGACCCAGAGCTCTCTGCACCAGGCACACACCTGGATGGGTCCACAGGCCTGCATGCAGGGTGGGCACTGTTTGGGCAGTGCTGTAATGCAGTGCTGCCCAGCACCTCTCGGGATGCGCTCTCAGCCGCTAGAGAAGTCATGACTGGAGGCACGTGGAGGTTGAGTGTGTAGTGCTGTATTCTAACCATCATGCGGCCTACAGCCAAAGGATGCCCAGCTGTCACCTAGGAGGGGAGGAAACAGTCCTTCAAAGCTCGTAAAGCTAATGTGTTGTATACTTTTTATCTTTCCCATGTGCTACAGGATGAGAAATACCTACAAAAGAAGTCCTCTTGAGAACGTTCGCCAGCTGGAAAGTAGCAAAGTTAAAGGATTTGAATTCTCTTCGGTGCTGGAGAAGAGGTGAGGCTATTCTCTTCATGTGTTGGGAATATATTCTCTTTCTCTGTCTTTCTCACTCTCTGTCTCTCTGTTTCGCTCTTTCTCTTTCTGTTTTTCTCTGTCCCTGTCTCTCTCTCTCTCTCTCTGTCCCTGTCTCTCTTTCTCTCTGTCCCTGTCTCTCTCTGTCTCTCTGTCTCTGTCTCTCTGTGTGTCTCTCTCTGTGTCTCTCTCTGTTTTTCTCTTTCTCCTTCTGTTTTTCTCTGTCCCTGTCTCTATCTCTCTGTCTCTCTGTCCCTGTCTCTCTCTCTGTCTCTGTGTGTGTGTCTCTCTCTGTTTTTCTCTGTCTCTGTCTCTCTCTGTCTCTGCCTCTATCTCTGTCTCTCTGTCTCTGTGTCTCTGTCTGTCTCTGTCTGTCTGTCTCTATCTCTGTCTCTCTCTCTCTGTGTCTCAGAGCTGCGATGGAACTCAGGACCTCACTATGTGAGGCAAGTGCCCCACAGCTGAGCTGCCCCGAACCTGTTCTTTCCTATTCATTCTTGTTCTTTCTTTTTTGTTTTTCTCCCACTGTCAGCTCCCAGGAATGTCCAGACTCTCCCTGACTCCTCAGGCTCAGCACATATCAAACAGGCCCAGACCCCTTTTCCCCACACCGGAAGACACAGGACACAGCTGTATATACATGAATGTGAATTTTAGCATTGGCAAAACTAATCAGTAGTGATAGAAACCAGAACAGCTGCTGCCCACTGAAGTTTCCATTGGAAAGTTTCAAGAATGAGTTTCTGACAGGAAGAAGGTATTCTCTATCTTCACTTGGGAGATGGGTACACAATAAGGACCTTTGTTAAAACCCATGATGGTGAACTTTTAAGATCTAAGCACTTTTTAAAAAAAATCTCACATTTTATGATATGCAAAATGAACCTCAGTGAAAGAAACCAAAGCCAAAATATAAACACAGTATAAATGTGCAGAAAGAAAGCTTACATAACAAGGGCTATTCTCAAGTGGACAGAATGTTTGGAAATTTGGGAGACTTCCAGAATTCACGAGAAAAACACCACCAAACTACAGAAAAGCAGGCAAACAGTTCGTGAAAAAAGATATAAGTATTCTCAACTTCAGGCATAATAAGAAATAAAAATAAGAAGGTGAGAAGAACATTTTAATCCTTCAAAAGATTCCCACCCTTGGTGAAGATGTGAGGAAAGAGAGTTAAGACAGACACCTTGGTAATATTTACCATAAATACAAATGTGAATAGCTTGTGACTCAGTGAATCCATTTGTCAGAATTTATCCCTCTTCATTGCCCTACAAATACTTGCAGATGTCTCAACGTGAAGGATTTCAGCAGTATTTAGAATAGCAAGTATTTAGGGACAAGAACACATCCACACACTAAAATAGTCAAGCTGTGCAAAGAAATGAGGACTCTTGCTGTATATTGAGATGGAAATGTCCCTAAGATGCACGAACAGGAAAAAAACAAATATGGAACACTCTATAAGATGCGAACTTTTGTGCAAAAGATAAAGATAATAAAAATGCATAATCACTTTCACTGATAAAGCACCTGTGGAAAATTACTCAAGAAACACGGCAAATACTAAGAACTACCAGGGAGGAATAAAAGTGAGGGACCAGGCAGGTAGTGGGTAAGAAAGGTCAAGTGTGCGTGGTCTACCTTCATTTACTTTCTTGTTAGACTTTATAACCACATACACGTTTTATCTCAGGGAAAATGTGCTTGGGTAAATGGATTCTGGAACACCCAAACCAAGTGCAGTTCAGCTCCAGAACACAGGAGCCAAAATGGAATCCTTTCCTGATTCCTTTAAGTACTTTGGAAAACTTCACTGTTCTCCTTCCTCCTGAAAGAGTCCCTGGAAATCTTTCTCTAGGCTGGAAAGACAGACTCCCAGCTTGCAAGAGACAGGGGTTCTTTGATTCTCTATGGGCGGGTGTCACAAGCAGGGAGAAGACTCCCTCTTCCCGTGTGAGCTCATGGTGGGAGCGGAAGTGGTGGATGCTGAAAGCAGCTGTAGTTTATCACACAACCTCCATGCCCCTCCCATCTTTGGAAATACCAAGCTACAGAAGGCTCCTATGACCTGGTAACAGTCCAGTAGGAGAGAAAGAAGAGCAGGCTAGGCTAGGCAGGTCCATTTTAAACCCTATTTTTCAGCTAATAGAGGAAGAAAGGAAAAAAGCATGGGTTTCCCTAATTATACCCCTCAGGGGAGTAGGCTCATAAAATAACCCCAACGCTTGAAATTTAGAAAGTCTCATGCTTAAATTTCCACTGTGGTCCTACAGCAATCTCTATGGGTTGCAGAAGGACAATGCAACCACTTTTCATAATACACACTTCCAGGGGTCTTGAACCACAGTAGTATACTACACTGCCAGTAGGAAAGGATGTCAGGACAAAGGTTAGATACCCTGGAAAATCTCTAAGGTGCTCCAGGAAGCCAGAGAGTTAGCAGGACACTAACTGTTCAATTTGGTTACTTAGAAAAGACAGTTGTTCAGAAGAAATGCTCATAGCAAAACATTATTTTAGAAGCTGTACCTTACTGAGTGTTCCGATAATGCCATGTTATTTAAAATACACAAGCATTCTTCAAAATGTAAGGACAATCTCTTACTTTTGTTCACAACTTTATTTTTCCCATAAATCCCTTTGAGATCTCTTTGAATGAACTAACACTGGCTGTATCTGATTTACCCCCAGGATGACAGCAACAAATCTGCAAATGTCCTTAGCTGCTCCCCAGCCCCATGAATTTATCTTGCGGAACAATTCTGTGGATCTAAGTGCCCCACGTAAGTCACGCATCATAAAGTGGGTCGTAACATCGAAACTCCATCTGCTTGCAAGGAGGGTGAGGAATTAAAAGTCAGGCTGTTCTACTTGAAAACATTATGGTACTTGAAATCATAATAGAAAAGGACAAATACTGTATGATTCCACTTATATGCAGTGCTCAGCAGAATCAAATTCACAGATTCAGAAAGAATGGTGGCTGTCAGGGGCTGGAGAAGAGGGGTGGAGAGTTGGAGTTTACCAGGTACAGAGTTTCAGGTTTGTAAGATTAAGAGAGTTCTAAAAATAGATGGTTGAGCAACAGTGTGAATATACATAATGCCACTGAGCTGTGTGTTTAAAAATGGTTATTGGCGTTTTACCACAATTACAAAAAATAATTTATTTTATCAATTGTTTATCAAAATAATAGAGCAAATCACCTCTATTATTATCTACTTTTTAAAGTAAAGTGGTTCTTATTGGAGAAAAAAGCTCCATTAGATTTGAGATATTAATGTGTTTGACATAAACTGAATGCAATTTGAAAGAAAATAGTTCCTGATCCTAAATCCCTTAAATGTCAGTCCTGAGGTTTTTGAGGTTTTGACATTTTCCCATTGTACCATTTAAAAGGTAAAATGGTATTAACTTCGAATAATTCGTATCCAAAGAAACATTACATACACCATTTGGTATGAAGTTAAAATAGCCTAATTATGTATGAACAGTAAAAAAATTATTCCACTTCTGCCTCCCTGAATAAGAACTACATTCCAAAGTGCCTGGGTGGATGACTGAGGCCTTGTGTAGCCTCTGTTTGGCAATATTGATGCTGAATGTTGCAGTAGTAGGAAAGAAAACAAGTCAAACAAAAAGGTCAAAGCAGTAATGAAACAGATGGTATTTGTTGGGAATGAAACCTACTTGTTCCCTTTGTGTGACCAAGGTGTTCTTTTAAAGTTGTAAAGTTCTTATTTTTTTATTTTCAGTATATTTTATTAGTGTTTACTCATTTTACAAAACATTGGGTTTGAGTGTGTGCTCACACGTGCATATATTTTGATCATATCTGTTTCCCCTACTGCCCTCCCGGTTGTAGAGCTTTTAGTTCGAGGTTCCCTCACTGTAATTTTTTTATCTCTGAAATTTATGCCTGTTTGGATGATCACTAGTTGTCTCTTGGGCGCACATACACATATAGCTTTTTCAGCCTACCCTACATCTACCACTTTACTTTTTTCTCCTCTCCCTAGTGATATTTAGAAGAAATAGCTAAATAGCAATGGGAGGTAAAAATTAACCTAGACAAGAAAACATGAAGCAGAGAGACATCATAAGGATTCAGGCTAACACTGCTCCCACCCTCACTCCCAACTGCTGACCTTAATTTCTCCTCCCCTAAGAAACTGGTCTAAGCAATGTCGTCCCTGGGCTCTCACCACACCTCGCCTGCCAACTGTGCCCACCCCCATGCTTGGCCTTCCCACCTGTGCCCGCGGCACACCCTGCCTGAAGCCAGTCTTCTTATTTGTGCCAGTGTTCCCTCTGCTCTTGCCTACGTGAGAGCCTCACTCCAGAAATTCACTCAGTGCTCCCCCACCATCGATTTTCCCCTCTCCACAATAGCTTGTTGCCTTAAGAGGTGGAACCTTCTTTGACCTCATGTCATCCATTAGATTTTGCCTCATTCCTTTGCATATCATTGTAGCAGCAGTTCCTTATGAAATCATCTCCATCTATCACCAATTCCTCTTCTCCTGTTGTCTCTTAAACCCACTCTGTTCAGATGTTCGCTCCCACTACTCAGCCGACATGACTGTATTCAGGGCCACCAGAGACCCTGATTTGTTGGGAAACTTACTGGTTCATTTCCGCTCCTCAAGCCAATTGCCGTATCAGCAGCGCCTGGCACCGTGGGTGACTTCTTCCTCCCTGGCACATTTATCTCCATGATATCTAATACGCCACATTCTCTGAGTTTCTCTACTTTGTGGGTCACTCCCTTTTCACTGCGACTGACTTTGTCCCTTTTCTCTCCAGTCTCTCAATATTTGAATGTCTCAAAACTTAATTCTTAATTTTTCTTCCTAGTATGTGTCTCCACCTGTCACTGATGATAAATGATGGTTTTAAATACCATCTGTACGTTGATAACTCCTAAATTTGTATGTCCAAAATACATCTCTTGCAGATTCCAAGTTCAGATAGCCAGCGTCTCTATTTTGTTATCTAACAAATGTTTCAAAGTTCATGTCTCTAAACTGAACTCCTGGTTTCCTCTCCACTCAGGCTGTTCTATCTGCAGATTTGCCCATCTCAGTGCATGACAACTCCATTCTTCTGATTGCTCAGGCCCAGGTCCTGGGGCTCCTGCTCAATGCCTCTTTTCTTTCACACACCAGGTCACTGCTCAGCTCTGCTGTCATACTACACTTCGAGGCTGACCACTTCTCACTCCAGCCATGGCTCCTACCCCACCCTGAACCATCCTCATCTCCTCTGCAACTGCAGTGGATTCCTGACAGGCCCCCCTCCAGTCCCTCTTGCACAGCCAGAGATGCATTAAAAACTGCTGAAGGGCAAGCACATCAGTTTTGCATGCCTAGCACCCTACAATGGCTGTCTATCCCACGCAAAGTGAAAGCCCAAGTCCTTATGGCCGGCAGAGACTTGGACTCTATTATTTTCCTGATGTTATTGCCCACCCTTCTTGCCCCTTCATTCCACTCCAGCCTCTCTGTATTCTCTTTTTTTTGTGTGGTGATGGTGGTTGTGGTGGTGGTACTGGGGACTGATTTCAGGGCTTTCCTCCTGAGCTACATCGCCAGCACCTGTTTTATTTTCTATTTTTCTTTTGAGACAGAGTCTTGCTAAGTTGCCCACATTGGGCTCAAACTTGCAATCCTCCTGCTTCAACCTCCTCGAGTAGTGGGATTAGAGGTGTGTGCCAACCTGCCTAGATCTCTGTTCATTTATTGATCGTGTCCTGGGGCATTTGCACTGGGTGCACCTTCTGCCTCCACTGCTAATCCCTCATCTGTCTGCACAGCTCATCCTGCACTTCCTTCAAGTCTTTACCCAAACATGACTTTCAGCAAAGCCTAAACTGAACACTCCATTGCCACAAACCCCTGCCTTGTCTCCTGCTTGCATTTTCTTCTGTTTATAGCTCTTTATTACCCTCTTAGGGACCATATGATTAACTTTTCATTATGTCGTTGCTTATCATCGGTCTTCACTGCTAAAATGTAAGCTCCAAGAGAACAAGGATCTTTTGTTTTCCTCATTGATTTACTCCAAGCAAATGGAAGAACACCTAGTGCACAGTAGAACTAATAATAATACATTTTGTTGCACTAATAGTCCAACCTGAATTGTACATTCAGCTAACAGATACACATCCCTTCTTCTGTGGCTCAAATGTAAACTATAAGTATGGGTGCAATGGACCCAGTAGTTATTGAGCACATACGGTGAGCTTGGCCCTCTGATAAACACTTGACCTTTTTTTTTTTTTGCATTCAATCTTTGGATTGAATATCTACATGGGGAGATAGTTATCAGACATGTGTGAAAAATAACTAAGTGAATCCCCATTTACAGAGGAGGACGTAGGAGCTAAGCAAGATTAACTCACCCTCGATTTTAGACCCCATAGCTGGTGAGACCCATACAGCAACTGTAGTCTTCTCCACTTCAAAATACATTTTTCAGTTCCAGAGCAGAGACGTGGGAATCAGATAGGAAGCTGTATTCTAGTTGTGCCACTCAATCAGCTATGCAATGGAAAGAACGTTAGTTAACTCTGAGTATCCCCATCCCTATCTTTTGAGTATTCCTTGTTCTTGGGATCACTGTAGGCAATGTGGAGTATTAAAAAAACCATATGTGTCTAAATTCAGATACAGAAAAACTGCCTCCAAAAGCCAACACAAAAGCTTTCATAAGATCAAAAATATGAAAGACCTCAAAATAGCATTGAACTCATGTGAGAAACAGAAAAAATATATATATTTCAGTTCCTTTTTAAGAAGTATTCATTATAAGAAGAAATTATTTTCACAACAGCATTCTTTAATATTAGTTCAGAAAATACTGTTGGATGATTAGACATTTTGTTATAGTAAGAGGGGTTCTAAGATGTTTTATCTACTTACATTGTCTCTTACTGTTCAGGGGGAGGTACCTCAGCCAGTTTATAGCTCTGAGGTCTTGCATGTTTTTCTGAACTTTGCTTTTTATGCACTAATTGTATATTATAATTTCTTTCTCATTTAAATAAACACAGTATTTGCTTTTAATATTTACAATATTAACTTGAATCTGTAAACTGCTCTAAGCAATTCAAATAAGAAAGGAAATTCTCTAATTGTAATATACCAGTGATTCCTCAAGCCAGAATATCCATCAGATGCCCTGATTTGTAATACAGTGAATCAAATGAGACAATTATAACAAACCAATGAAAAGTGACATGGCTATTGTGACATCTACAAAATGTTTCACTGTGAAAAGATGAAATCATATGGAAATTCCCAAGTCTTGTCCTCTACCCTCCCTGCCTTTCCTCTCCTCCCAGACTCTGGCCATGATTGCATATTTAGGAGGCCGGCCAGGGAAGGTTCACAAGCTGGGTCCATGGAGCACACACTCCACGCCCTCTTCAGAACTTTCTGGCTGTGAGGACTTCCTGAAAGATGAAGGAAGTGGGAAATGCAAATGCTGGGGCTTCCTCTGAGCTCCCCTCGGATGCGAATGGCAGTTGAATGTTCATGAGGTGGAATCTGATTGAACAGATCCTGCATTTTGTCAGGCTAGTTGCTGAGGTTGGGCAGGTAGAGATCCGTTGCCTAAGTTTCTGTTTTCCCACATGAGCTGCTGCTACTCTTCCCAGGGAACACTGTAAAAAGGAAAAACAGCCTAAGTCTCTAAGGATATATGTTGCCTTGGAATAATGGCAGAATAATGGCAGATCCAGGTTTCATAAGGCAAATTACATATATATATGTAATTTGGAAGGCCATCTTCAAGAAACAAACACAAAATTTAAAAAGTAAAATTAGGTTCAAAAGTAAATACTGTCTATTTAAATAAGAAAGAAATCACAATATACCACTAGTGCATAAAAGTGGACGAATGTCAACACATCCCCTAGGGCTTTGCTGCAGCACTGCAGCCCAGTCTGGGTCAGCTCCAGGGAAACGCTCTGCACTTGTGCATTTGAAGCAGAACAAGGCAAAACCCTCCTTAGACCAAATTCACCTCAGGACTCTACCCCCTAAATATCTAGGTCAAGAATTAAATAAGCAAAATTGGCCTATCCAAAAGAGAGGTTCAATTTCCCCAATTTCAAGTGGAGAGTTGACCATTTGAAGAACTAACACTTCTTCTATTAAGAAAAGAGTGGGATGTCTTTTAAGCTGTCCATTTTTTTAGTTCTCCATGCAGTGTGATCAGAACATGTAAGAACAAGAGAACAGACAGTGTTTTTCCACCTGTGGTTGTTCACCTGGCTGACAGCTTGGGCCTGAGCTCAACGGGGAGGCTGCTGAAAGTTCACAAAACCCTTCTCAATCCAACGTCCTGTCCCCTCGTCCCTCAGATATACCCCATGTTTCCTCAGAGCCGCTCATCCCCTCTGTGTCTGTTACTGGCATGGCTTAGCCAGGCCTGAATCTGCGCCCCGCAATCTGCTTTCCTCTGCCTGCCCCACTCCACACTACACAAAAATCCCAATAAGAATGCAAAAATGAACTTATTTACAATTTGACCAAACTGGGAGGGAAGCCTATCCGTACCCTTGGAGTACAGAAGTACTCCAGTTTAAAGATGGAATAGAAGAAAACCCAGGAAATACTTGTATGCAGATTTAGCTAAGTTTTGGCTCCAAAAGCTGGAAGTGTTGAACCCTCCTTAGAATCAGGGCTGGGTGGTGGTGCTCTATATGGTCAGCATGAGGAATTTTTTCTTTCAAAAAATTCTAACTTTTAGAGATCCATTTTAACCTTTCAATAACACCTACACATTAGAAGCAACAGGGCTGTTTTTTTTTTTAAAACTCTCAAGGTTCCACCTTGAGATTCTAATTGAATTTGCCTATAGTGGGAAGGAAGGAAGAAGGGAAAGAAGACAAGTGAGAAGAAATTCTCAAGGGTTGGGGAATACTGATACTGGTATCCAGCCAGAGATTGTGGTTACTCTGACCTAAAATAGTGGTTCTTCGTGCATAGTCCTTTGAAAAACACAGCAGTGCAAATCTGGTTGTGCAGATCTTAACTGCTCTTGAGACATCAACACAGAACAAAAATGATTCAGAATGCCCGCTCCTCCACTTGTGCAGGTTATAATGATATCCATGGGGGGCAGGGAGTGAATTGTAGAAAACAGAAGTGGGGTGGGGCTGCCCAATTTGTTATAGCCTTGTCTGTCTTATTAAAACAGAACTTGAACTGTTGGCTACTTGTGATTGGCTGGGATTCTGACAGTTATTCCAAGAGTAGTCAGTGGTCTACCTATCAAGTTAGGTTGCAGTTCAGTAAGTATGGTGAACCTTTAAGACACATACAAAACATGTAGGGGCAGCTCTAAGGCAAACTCAACAGTCCTGATACCAGCAGTAGAAGCATCTACTGGAGAAACCCAAACTATAAAAGGTAGATGATAGGAAACAGGGAGGTGTACCTTTTGCAGATGGGAAGACGATCAAGGCATGCAGGAAGAGGGAAGGGAGAAAAGGAAAAGGAGAAACGAAAGGACTAAGACGTAATATGGCTATGTATCAACTCCCTACAACGAATGCCCTCATTATGTACCAAAAACACTGCAGTACTGATAAGAAAAAAAATTTTAGAAATGCCAGTTCAGAGTCACTAAATTGGATGCTCTGGAGATGGAGCCCGTCCACAACCAACCTAAGTTTAGCGTCAGTTGCAGGCAACCACCTGGAGGTCCAGACCTTGGCAGAGCCTCTCTGCTTGAGCGGGGATAAGGAAAGCAAGTCAGGGACCCAAGAAGCAGTGCTTGAACTGTTCAGACTGGGCTCACCCGCATCCTCACATAAACAGTACCGAACACCAGCTCACAGCCTCAGCAAGTGCTGAGTATGATGAAAACGGCAAGAGTGACATAGCCCCGGCCAGGCTGCATTGCATAGAACAGCGCTTCCTCTGTAGGACACCATGCACTTTAGAACCTTCAGGAGAGCCTTAAAAAGCGCACTGGTGAGGCAGCAGGGTGGAGTCTGCCTGTAATCCCAGCACTCTAGCGGATGGAGGCAGGAGCATCACAACTTTGAACCCAGCTTCAACAACTGAGCAATTTAGAGAGACCCTGTCTCAAATTTAAAAAAAAAAAAAAAATAGAAAGGGATGAGGAGTAGCTCAGTGGGAAAGTCTCAGGTGCAAAATAAATAAATAAAAGCATAGTGCAGGACAGGGGATATGGCTCAGTAGCAGAGCACTTGCCTAGCATGCAAAAGGCCCTGGGCTCTATTCCCTAGCACCATCAAACAAAACAAAACAAAACACCGAACAATCTTGACATCCAGACTCTCCCCTGCTGCATCTTGAGCAGCTATGTTCCTGGGGAAAAACTTCAAGAGGATGAAGAAATAAAGGTAAGAGGTGAAAGCTGAGATGAGGTGGAGTCCTCTCTCTTTAGGAGAGGAAAGGACCTGCCCAAGGACTGCAGAGTGTTTATTGATACACTCAGGAGGTTGATGTCAATTTCAACCTCTCTGCCTAGCAACCTGTTTGCAAGCTGGAGCAGCTGGTTTACATGTCTCAAGGAACTCTTTATGTTCTAGGGGCGGCTTTGTCTTCGCCCCCCATATGTGACTGATTTCCAGCTTCAGCCACTCCCTACACTCGCCACCACAAATCAGCTGTGGACCCTGAGAGAGATGCGGCCAGGTTTGCAAATGCATGCTGCATCACCATGTCCTCCTCATAGCACCGTGCCCTCATCCCTACCGCAGCTGCTGACCAAGGTGGAGAGTGTCCGAGCCAGTTGGAATCTTGAGTCTGTCTCCAGAATGTTCACTGATCCTGAATGCTCCTAATGGATTCTCTTGTCTTTACTCCTCCAGATGGCTATGCTTTTTCTCAAACAGAATCAGCCGTGATCACTCAGGAAGAACTAGTCCATTATTACAACACTCTTGTAAGTGAGAGGAAGGGTTCATAGAAGAGTCCAGCCTTCATTAATCTCACCAGTATGTAAGATCCAGATCACTATGTCCTTCCCTGGGACTGGTAGAATGAGCCTGACTCCCAAATGCTTGTTTCTGTGCCTTGGACAACCAGTCTGTTATTTATGTATTGACTGATTCAGAGGAATAAACAGTGGAGAAACCCCACTTGCTTTTCCTGAATTTGTTTGCAGTTTTATTCAACATATTTATTTTTCTGTGGCTGTGAGATAGCTCATCAGTTCAGGCCAAAATATACCATTCAAAACTATGTTTCAGCAAATTTACACTTTGGTACAAGTGGTTTTGGAGAAAAAGGTAAAGATGTCATGTTGCCTAATAAATCCGTCATGCCTCACAGGAAAGGGATCTTGCAGAAAGTTCATATTTTGAAAACTCTAAAGGCATGAGGCAGCATAGAAAACATTCTCTCAGAAGGATGTGCTGTCACTGTGAGTCACATTTCTTCTGTATGAAATTTGCACACTATTTCACTTCAGTGAACTCGTACAGGGATTGTACTGTCAGTCCTCACAATCAGGTGCGTGAGGATCAACATATTTATGATTTTCTGTAGATCAGTTTAAACTCCATTCTGATTCTCCTATTCAAGAAGTCTAGTAGGAAAATCAGCCTCAGTCACTTCCAGGTTTCTGCCTCCAGCTGCACCAATTCTCCACAGCCCCACTTATGAGCACAGGAGGCTTTGAAGGGGCATCTAGGTATAACCCATAACAGTTGGAGTTGGGTGTAGCTAGTGGTACACCGCTTGCCTAGCGTGTGTGCGGTCCTAGGTTCCATCCCCAGTAACTTCCTCCTACATCATGGCTTTAGAGGTGGCGGGGCGGGGCTTGGCGCCTCAGACATCCCCAGCACCCTACAGCAAACTACAATACCTGTTACAGTTCCTAGCCGGTAACTTTATAAGGAGTACATGATTCAATTAAATTATTTCAAAACACGTATATTATGTCTTAGAATGGATATAACCTTTGATCCAGAAACTCTATTTCCAGACATTTATCCTAAGGAAATAACTTACTAAGTGGGTAGGGGAGGCAGTATTAGGAAAATGTTCATATAAGTCGTCAGCCTGCCAAAACTTGTTTATGCAATCCATGTTAACCCTATTTTGCGTGGAACTTCAGTTGCCTGTTGTTGCTTTTGGGATTAAATACAGAAGGCCTCACACAGGCCCGACCGTGTGGTCAGCGTCCGGAGCCTTCTTCCCTGCCGCCCAGCCAGCACTCCCGCTCTGCAGGGCCCAGCGGGAGAAGGGATCTGGGCCAGCCGGGCGAGCGGCCTCCGTGCAGCTCTGAGGGCTGCAGGCTCCTGCTGGTCTCCCTTCTTGCCTGCATAAACTCCTCTTAAACCCGCGCCCCAGCTACGGTGCGCCCTCCCTGCTGCCAGGCCGCCCGCATCACAGGCAGCTCGGTGTCCTGGCTCAGCGAGGAGGACTGCAAGTGGCCAGATGGGGGCGTGGCGAGATGGGGCGCGTTTGGGGTGGGCGTGGCGAGATGGGCGTGGCGAGATGGGACTGGACGGGCGGGCACAGCGAGGAGGGGTGGGGCAGGGGCGTGGTGATATGGGGACGTGGTGCTGGGTGGTGGGCGGGGCGAGGGGCGGGGCGAGCTCCGCCCCCAACCACTCCGGGGCTGCACCGAGGTTAAGGAGACGCCCCAGGGCCCCTGAGTACCCCGGAGTGGCCCAGCGGCACGTGGCACCGGAGTCTCGCAGAGCGGGACTCGCACAAGGGAGAAAGTACCTGAGCCCCACGCCGGGCCTGGGGTGCACTCGGCCGCCCTGGGGTGGGCTCTCTGGGGTCAGCCCTCTCAGGTTTGCAGCAGAGCTGAGGAGGTGCAGAGTCATGGAGAGGACCCCGGCCCGCAGCCGTCTCCCCGCGCGCACCAAAGCTCCCCTCAAGCCCCTGCACCCCCAGCCGCGGTGCTCAGTGTGTGCAGACCCGTCCGGGTTCAGGCGCACGTGGTTACAAGCCGAAGCTGCTGCTGGATGCAGACCCCCGAGCCCGAGGCTGGCGGCTCCTGCTCATTTACAGGTTTTGCAGGCGGCGCTGGCGCCCTCGAGGGACGCGCGGCGGCCGAGATCTGCTCCACGCAGCCCGCGCACAGCCCTCTGACTTTAACACCTAACCAAGGTGAAGCGCTCTCGCCGCGGCTTCCACACGGCCAGGCGGTCGCCCTGGCCGGTGTCTCCCTCTTAGAGTTTCCCGGGTCTTCGCAGACCCAGATGTGGCCGAGCTGCAGGCACAGATCGCCCGGAAACCAGAAGCGCGGAGGTGCTCGTGCTTTGAGGGTCCTCTCGGGCTGCGGAGCAGGCCTGGCCGCTGGTAACCGGCACCACCAGAAGGAAGTGCATTCTCCCCGAGAGGAAAGCCTCATGCAGGAAGTCGTGGGCTTAAAACTGCTCCCCGTCTCCCCATTCTTTGGATTCTCTGCATGCAAACCAGGGTCACCACTCGGCAAGGAGAACCGCTCTTCTTCCTTTGAATACAGCTGAATGGTCTCACCTCAGCTGCATTAGTAAGACAGCTCCCTCTAGCTGTTAGGCCTTGCAGACGCTTTGAGCATCCACGCGGGTGTTCTTTGCACAGTGCCTTTGAGACTTCAGCTATAATTCTGTGTAGGGAAGAGCGGAGTTTGGGGATGTTAGAAATGCCTTTTTTGTGGGGAAGGGGCTGCAGGTGGGGACTGACAATAAGATACCTTTGCTTAGAAATATCATAAAAGGATGGGTAAATAGCAAATCTACTCCAGCCCATAAAGTAGTCGGCTTCTTAGAAATATCCAAACGCTGTTAAATGAGTTACTACCTATTTAGTGATGCAATTTAATTATCGTTATTTTGTATCCGGGACACTTCTTTGACTCCTGTGTCATTTTGCCTTGCTCAGTTCAAATTGTGCAGAAACAGTGCGGGACCAGGCGCCAGGCCTCTGTAGTTTCGATGGAAATTTAGCTCTCACGGTAACAGGATTCCTTGAGCTGTGTGTTCAATTTCCTCTGCCCACCAACAACCACACGGATGAAACATTTCTCCCAGTTTGCCATCTATTTTATAATTCAATTTATAAATTATAATTTATCATAAAATTTAATTTAATTGCCATTTATTTTATAAAGTCATGCTCTTTAATTTTTTAAAAAGTTTTACCATCAAGTTTCAGAAACATCAAATACAGCTGGGAAGAGCAAATGTATTAAACCATTTTCTACACCTTTTTGAATGGGTGGGTTGATTACTTCTCTGAACAGGGATTCTTCTTTCCCCCTGTTCCGAGACGCGTGTGTGATCGGAGCCGCACTCAGATTCCCCGTCCACTCAAGCGTTCCTTCCTGGCCAGCTCCGGTCGCCTCTGGGCTTGCCGCACGGTGCCAGCTCCGGGTGGCTCCTGTCCTCAGGGCTTTCTCCTGCCCAGCACTTGTCCTCAGTCCCCAAGCTCCGCTGCTTTTCGTACACACGCAGCCCTCGTCCCTGTCCCTCTCTGTCGTCGACTGGGAAGCTATCTTCACACACTGTTCACTGATCGCCGCTGTCTCTGCTGTCATCCTGAAGTAGCCCGGTTTCACAGCCGCAGACCACGCGGGCACACAGCCCTCAGCAAGCACCAGGCCTCCTGTTTCCCAAACTAGGATGTTTGAATTGCTATTATAAGAATTGATAACGCTTTTTACAAACGGACAACGTTTCCATAAAGAAAGATAGGGAATTCATTCATTCAAGTGGTAGCAGTTTTTCTAGGTTAAGGAGAAAATGACAGGAATCCTTTTCTCTGAAATGATTCAAGACCTTTGCAATACTGAGTCATACTGCAAGTCAGGCAATAGACGCCAAGGGGCGCCAGAGACCACTTCCCCGCTGATTGTTATCTGCAGCTTTGCTGTGAAGGTCTTTTCCAGGGGCTACAACTGCACTTGTTTCTCCACAGTTTATGTATTTTTCTGTTGTGAATGCACTTCTCCCTGCACTATGTAAACATATAATTGGCTTTGCATTAGCTGAAAATAAACATCTGGGCTAAAAGAATAGAATTTGTGTGTTTCATGTAACCTGCTCCCCATACAGTGGTTGGGTGCTGGGCACATTGCTTCCTGCTCAAGAAATACCCTTCTGCTTCAAATAGTAGGATGTTAAAAGGTCCTTTACCATCACGGGCCTTCAACACTTTCAAACCACATCCACCCAATAACTGAAAATGTTTCCATTCATTCTTGAATAATACTGGGAATTTCAAAAGAAGCTGTTATTTAATTGGACAGTTTCATTTGCTATGCAGTCAGTGATTTAACAACAATAAATTCTGTTCTGAGGAGATTCAGAAGTGGTTGCCCATTTTGGCTGGGCATCAGCTTGGATGTGGGGAGAGTTAAGATTTATCATGCAACTAGTGGGAGGCAAAGGAAAACGTCCAGCCTGCTTCCTCCCGATGGAGTCATCTTCCAGCTCCACCACCTTGGGAGCCGACGACCCCACACACCTCCTGCCTGCCTGTAGGAGGCACCCCAGCTCCCTTTGCACGGGCGCACTCAGCCCGACCTCCTCTCCAGCCCCACTTCTACCAGGCTCCAGGCAGCAGCACATCTCAGCCCGCTGGGTTTCCTTGTTAATCACCAGCTTATGCGTCTCCTCTCCAGAGGAGCTTTCCCCACTGGTCCTCTGTTTCATGCTCTGGTTGAACTACATTCAGAGTAATGTCTTGGGGGTCAGAGCACGATGTCCCAAGTATGGTGCCACGGAGTGTGAAGTGCTTTGAACTCAAAGAGACTGGAAGGGCCAAGAAGCAACTCTCTCTGACCTCCAACCCTGTCTTTGGCCCTGCTCTCTGCCCCACAGCCAATCACAGAAACTAGAATTCCTCTTCCCCAAGGCAGTTCATAGAACTAGAGCCCCTCTCCCCAAAGGCAAGTCATAAAACCCAGAAAGGTCACCCTCACCCTTTCCCTTCTTCACGAAAAATCCTCATTCCAGAGGGACCTTGCCCCATATGTGTGAGGAAGGAACACCACACAGAAAAACCAGGAAGAATCTGGGCAGCCTAGGTGGGCTTCCACCTCAGTCCACTACGTTAGCTCAATGCTTTCGTACAATTCCATCTCTACGTGGCTGTCCACTCTTCATCCAACCGTAAAGATGGAAGGTTTTCCCTGGAT